GGGGGGGAGGTATAATCATAAAAAATGGCAGAATAGTGGTTTGGATTATTAAAATTTCATCTCATTTGCATTTTTTGTCAGAATTTTAATCATCTGCAGTTTCTTATCTCTTATTTAGATTTAGAAAAGTATATTGCATTTAAATTTTTTATTTAGTCATCATAATCTGAACTAATAGGAAATAATTTCTTTCTCTAGATCCCTTCTGGATCTGTGATGAAAATGGGGAAGGAAATAAGAACAGGATGCGAGTGGATTTCGGTTTAGTCATCTTTCTGTTCGGCTAATTTCTGCCTCTTTCAATTACTGGAGAGTCTTTCTGGCACCATAGCAAGTCAAATAAAAGATGATGCTTCACAAAATGTATGATATAATAATTCCAAAAAGAGTAACTACGAGCAACATGTGGGAACTTATTATATGCCAGATACTTTGTTATTATTTTTAATCTGTATTTATTTGCTTAATTTCCACAATGTTCCCATATCACAGAAAACTGCAGATAAGAAAAGTTATGTAACTTAACCACCCCACGTCATTCATCTAATAATTGATAAATCTGTTTCAGACTCCAAAAATTCACGTGCTAAAACTACCACATCTATTTAGCTGATAAAAGATAAATTAATTTTTCACACAAACTTCAGCTAACAATAGTTTTATTTTAAACCATAAGGAAAAACCTACCGTGTTGGAGGTTTGATCAGATGGACAGACCTTCCATCATAATCACAGGAATAAATATGAGAATTGCTTCCTTCTCTATTGTCCTGAATCCAAAAGAGGCGTTTATCGAGCACATCCAGGGACATAGCTGTTATTCTTTCTGGTGTCTCTAATAGAGTCTTCACTTTCACCCCACTGAGATCTGCTCTGTGAAGACTGCTGTCCACTTCTGAAGACCAAAATATAAACCTGGGGGCAAACACATTGCATAGATCCATAATTGAATGGAATAGTCACTAAAATGGCAGATTCTTTCAGTGTTTCAGTAGCCCCTCATTCCTGCACAGGACAATTTTGACTATTTTGAATGAAAATTCAATTCAATAAGTACATGTTAACTATTAAGGAAATTATATGTGGTTGATTCAAGTTGGAAGAGTTATGCTTCTCTAGCAGAAAATCATGGTAGTCAACAGTGTTTATAAAAGGAGCCTGCCAAGTTCAAATGCAGGCAGGCCACTGTCCT